AGGTCTGCTGGGGGGCCCAGCGGAGTGACGTCTTACGGGGACTCAGATTAGACCTCGCCATCCCTGGGGGGCTGCGATCTATGAAACTGTCGCCACTTTCGAGGGCTGCTGGGGGGCCCAGCACAGTGACGTCTTACGGGGACTCAGATTAGACTTCGCCATCGCTGGGGGGCTGCGATCCGTGAAACTGTCGCCACTTTCGAGGGCTGCTGGGGGGGGCAGCGGAGTGACGTCTTACGGGAACTCAGAGATTAGACCTCGCCATCCCTGGGGGGCTGCGATTATGAAACTGTCGCCACTTTCGAGGTCTGCTGGGGGGCCCAGTGACGTCTTACGGGGACTCAGATTAGACCTCGCCATCGCTGGCGGCTGCGATCTGTGAAACTGTCGCCACTTTCGAGGGCTGCTGAGGGGCCCAGCACAGTGACGTCTTACGGGGACTCAGATTAGACCTCGCCATCGCTGGGGGGCTGCGATCTGTGAAACTGTCGCCACTTTCGAGGGCTGCTGGGGGGGGCAGCGGAGCGACGTCTTACGGGGACTCAAATTAGACCTCGCCATCCCTGGGGGCTGCGATCTTCGAAACTGTCGCCACTTTCGAGGGCTGCTGGGGGGCCCAGCACAGTGACGTCTTACGGGGACTCAGATTAGACCTCGCCATCGCTATGCGGCTGCGATCCGTGAAACCGTCGCCACTTTCGAGGGCTGCTGGGGGGCCCAGCACAGTGACGTCTTACGGGGACTCAGATTAGACCTCGCCATCCCTGGGGGGCTGCGATCTGTGAAACTGTCCCCACTTTCGAGGGCTGCTGGGGGGCCCAGCACAGTGACGTCTTACGGGGACTCATATTAGACCTCGCCATCCCTGGGGGGCTGCGATCCGTGAAACCGTCCCCACTTTCGAGGGCTGCTGGGGAGCCCAGCACAGTGACGTCTTACGGGGACTCAGATTAGACCTCGCCATCGCTGATGGCTGCGATCCGTGAAACTGTCGCCACTTTCGAGGGCTGCTGGGGGGGCAGCGGAGTGACGTCTTACGGGGACTCAGATTAGACCTCGCCATCCCTGGGGGCTGCGATCTGTGAAACTGTCGCCACTTTCGAGGGCTGCTGAGGGGCCCAGCACAGTGGGGACCCACCGCAGACTCAAATTAGACCTCGCCATCCCTGGGGGGCTGCGATCTGTGAATCTGTCGCCACTTTCGAGGGCTGCTGGGGGGGCACAGCACAGTGGGTACCCACCGCAGACTCAGATCAGACCTCGCCATCCCTGGGGGGCTGCGATCTTCGAAACTGTCGCCACGTTCGAGGGCTGGTGAGGGGCACAGCACAGTGGGCACCCACCGCAGACTCAAATTAGACGCCGCGTTCGTCCTTGTTCTCCTCCTGCAGTCACCTTCCCTCTGCTGCTGCCGTGCCGTGCTGATGGTTCGGCTTCCCGCACGTTTTCTCCTGCTCTGCGTTCCCGACTCCCCATGCCCTCTTCGAGCTTGTAGCTGTCGCCCCTCGTTCTTGTATGGTTCTCCTGCGCATCATGCCATAGGCGCGTGCCCCAAGTAGCTTACACATCAAGTTGATTGTCCATGCAAGTTTCGGCCAACCCCTCGTTTCCATTGATGCAAATGGGTCGGGTACGTCACAGGGTTCCCAACCCTCCTGCGTTGGGTACTCGTTTTGAATAGAGCACTGCGGTCGCGTCTCCCCTCCTCCTCCTCCTCCTCCTTCCCGTCCCCCTCCTCTACTCCCTTCTCCTCCTCCTCCTCCTCCTCCTCCTCCTCCTCCTCCTCCTCCTCTTTTCTCTTGCACCCCTGGGGGGCTGCGATCTGTGAAACTGTCGCCACTTCGAGGGCTGCTGGGGGGTTCAGCAGAGTGACGTCTTACGGGGACTCAGATTAGAGACCTCGCTGGGGGGCTGCGATCTGTGAAACTGTCGCCACTTTCGAGGGCTGCTGGGGGGGGGGGGGGGGGGCCCAGCGGAGTGACGTCTTACGGGGACTCAGATTAGACCTCGCCATCCCTGGGGGGCTGCGATCTATGAAACTGTCGCCACTTTCGAGGGCTGCTGGGGGGCCCAGCACAGTGACGTCTTACGGGGACTCAGATTCGACCTCGCCATCGCTGGGGGGCTGCGATCCGTGAAACGGTCGCCACTTTCGAGGGCTGCTGGGGGGGCAGCGGCGTGACGTCTTACGGGGACTCAGACTAGACCTCGCCATCCCTGGGGGGCTGCGATCTTCGAAACTGTCGCCATTTTCGAGGGCTGCTAGGGGGGCCCAGCGCAGTGACGTCTTACGGGGACTCAGATAAGACCTCGCCATCGCTGTGGGGCTGCGATCCGTGAAACTGTCGCCACTTTCGAGGGCTGCTGAGGGGCCCAGCACAGTGACGTCTTACGGGGACTCAGATTAGACCTCGCCATCCCGGGGGGGCTGCGATCCGTGAAACTGTCGCCACTTTCGAGGGCTGCTGGGGGGCCCAGCGCAGTGACGTCTTACGGGGAC